AGTTTCGTTTCATTGACTCATTTCGCTTCATGAACTCTTCTCTAGATATGTTGGCATCATATCTGGAGGAATTTCCAAATTTGAAATCACAATTTTCTAATATTTCCAATGATCAGCTCCAGTTGTTAACTAAAAAAGGAGTGATGCCCTACGATTATATCGACTCATTCGAAAGATTCGATGAAAGTCAGCTTCCTCCAATAGAGTCATTTTACAGTAAATTGTATGACAAGCCATGCCCCCGTAGACACTACCTTCACGCCAAGCTGGTATGGTCGAAATTTGGCTGTGAAGACTTGGGTCAATATGTTGACCTCTACATGAAAACGGACATTATGCTGTTAGCCGATGTTTTTGAGCAGTTTCGATCCAGCTGCCACAACACCTATGGTCTCGATCCTGCTCATTATTTCACACTACCAGGGTTCACGTGGGACGCCATGCTGAAGCATACAAAGCAAGAGTTGGAACTGCTTACCGATGTAGACATGTTTCTATTTGTTGAGCAAGGTATCCGAGGAGGATTGAGCCAAGTTTGTTCTAAACGAAGAGCTCAAGCAAACAACAAGTACATGCCTAATTATAATTCATCAAAGCCAGACTCATATTTGATGTATTATGATGTAAACAACCAATATGGTTGGGCAATGTCTCAGTCGTTACCATATGGAGGCTTTGAATGGGCTGACACTAATATCGACGTCACAGCTATTCCTGATGATGCTGATATAGGATGTATTTTGGAAGTCGACTTGGAGTATCCACAACGCCTCCATAATTTACATAAAGACATTTCTTTCTGCCCTGAACACATCAATCCGAAGACGATGAAGCCTCCAACGAGATCATCTCAGCCTACCAAGTTGATGGCAACGTTGAATCATAAGAAGAAGTACGTCATCCACTACCGCACCTTGAAACAGGCGCTGAAGCATGGCCTAGTGTTGAAAAAGATTCACCGAGTACTCAAGTTTCGACAATCCCCATGGCTTAAATCCTATATTGACCTCAACACCAACCTCCGTGAACAGGCAAAAAATGAATTCGAGAAAAATCTCTTCAAACTCATGAACAACGCTGTTTTCGGGAAAACGATGGAGAACATTCGTAAGAGAGTCAACGTTAGGCTTCTAACGGAGTGGGCGGGGAGATATGGCGCTGAGTCGTATATTTCCAAACCCGAGTTTAAGAACTGTATCATTTTCAATGAGAACTTGGTAGCAGTTGAGCTCGGGGAATTGGAAATCTGGCTGAATAAGCCCATATACGTTGGTCAAGCCATTCTCGATCTCGCCAAGACTACCCTATATGACTTTCACTACGACTATATGGTTCACACATTCCATGATTGCTCCGTTCTGTACACTGATACTGACTCGCTCATCTATGAGATTACCAATCGAGATCCATATGAAGTCATGAAGCGAGATTGCCATCAACGATTCGATACCTCTGACTATCCTATGAATAACCAATTCGGAATACCACAGGTCAATAAAAAAGTGCTCGGAATGATGTCAGATGAAAACAAGAGTCGAATAATGACGGACTATGTGGGCTTGAGATCTAAACTATATGCCACCAAAGTGTTGACAACTGAAAATGAAATTGAAAAGAGAAGATCAGAATTGCATGCAGAAAACTATGATCAGGAGGAAATCGATGATATAATCATGAATATGGGTGTAATGAAGAAGGCGAAAGGTGTAAAGAAGTCTGTTGTTAAAACAACTATAACTTTCGATGACTATGTTGAATGTCTGGAAACAGCCAAACAGAAAACAGTATCACAAAACTTGATTAGAGCCAAACAGTACCAGGTCCATTCAATCACGCAGAACAAGATAGCTCTCAGTCCAAATGATGATAAGAGATACATTATACCAGGAATCGATGAAGCGTTACCATGGGGCCATTATTCCATCAATGGTGAAGCAATGGAAATTGATAATTAATTAATTAATTTTATGTAAAATGTGTGATGAATGATTAGGTTAGCAATCGAACAAAAAAGAACCATCAGGCGAATTAATGAAGTGTTTCTATTAATTTAGGAATTAATCTTCGTGCTGTCTGCGAAAACATACATCAGACGAATCAATGAAGTGTTTCTATTAATTTAGGAATAAATCTTCGTGCTGTCTGCGAAAACATACATCAACTAATGAAGTGTTTCTATTTATTTAGGAATAAATCTTCGTGCTGTCTGAGAAAAATTGTTAACCTAATTATTTATCGCCGCAAGTGGTCAAAGTAGGTCTACCGGAGAGCTTCCCACTATAAAAAGAAGCAACGCGCCACAAGGCACTACCTCGAGGGTGGTGGGGAAATGTGCTGCTATTTGTATAGATTATTGAATATATTATATAATTTTATACATTGTGTTTGATTTCATACCTTTGTTATTTGTCAACAGTCCTCTGTCATACGTTTAATCGATGTTTAACACAAAAGTAGGGTGGTCTCTAACCATGGGCCACCCTGTATATTTTATTGAATTACTTTTCAACTGAAACATCCTGTATATAACCATTCATTTTTTTGTTAATGAACTGACAGCTTGCAGGTCGCCTGATGGTCACGTGTCATCTCTGTAATCTGTCACCGGCCATCTGTCAAACGTCATCTGCATACTTCATACGTTACTATGATTGCTAAGCCCCACATAAAGTGTGAGACATCTTGAATATATTTTCCAATTTTTATTCTACACTTGAACACCTACTTCATTCATCTTGTTATTGAACTGATGACTTGGGAGGTAGCCGGCTTGCAGGTCGCCTGATCACGCGTCATCGATCTTCGATATCTGTCATCGGCCATTTGTCAAACGTCATCTGCCATACGTTACCTATCTGTTTGCCGAGCCCACCTAAAGTGTGGTGGTCTACCAGTGGGGCAGCTGTATATATTTTCAATTTATATTCAACTCAAACACCCTGTATATCGACCCAGCTATTGGCATCGATGTGTTATTGCAGTTCTTATCAGTAGAGCTCACTCGTTGGAGCCGGATTACCTTGAAAGCGTAAAAAATGACCAGAATGGACCTTAAAATCCGCTGAAAAAGTCCGTAGATCTAGGGAAAAATCTGCTTTGCTTTACATTGGCTCTTATGGGGCTTCCTGCCGTACATAGTGTAATTTCCGTAGAATCTAGGGAAAAATGACTTAGAATTTTGAAAATTGCGGGGAAACTGGTACAGCTCCTTTACTCCCCGGATTTTCCATTTAAACAGGGAGGAGTTATGGTGGCACTAGACAACCACTCCATTGTATCAATTATCTCAATATTGTTTGTCATTTGCAAACTTGCAGTTTGCCTCTGAATATTGTATGTTGAATTCTAAGAGAAAATAAATCAGTTACTGAATGAGCCTCAACCCGAGAACATCATTTTTTGACTCAAGTTCAGCTCATTTCTAAAGAGTCATTTCGACCGCTCGAACCCAAAACTCTCCAGAGGTATCCATGTGAGATTATAGAATAAAGATATACAGTGTGCAGACTGATGTCGGAGTATCTTCACTTGCCTATTGTTCTAGTTATATGTCCTTCGGAGTCATCTTATATGGTCAATGCGACAGTATTTACTATAGCTGTAGGCATATCAGATTCCACAATGTGAAGTTACAGTGTAAACATAGTCAAAGTCAAGGTTTTTTGTTCTGCCTGTTGCGTGCGTCAAAACCGCTTCGATGTCGTCTCATATGATCGTTGCGATCCAATATGCCTCGGAAGAATTCATGTGAGATTATAGAATACAGAGATACAGTGTGCAGACGGATTTTGTCGAAGAATCTTCACTTGCCTATTGTCCTCGTTATATGTCCTTCGAAGTCGTCCTATATGGCCAGTACGATCGTATCTGCTATAACTGTAGGCATGTCAGATGCTGTAATGCGGAGTTACAGTGTAACATAGTCAAAGTCGAAGTTTCAAGTTCTGCCTGTTGTGTGCCTTATACCCGTTTTGATGTCGTCTCATATAATCGTTGTGAACTGATATGGTCCAGAGAGATACAGTGTGCAGAATGATGTAGTCGAAGAATCTTCACTTGCCTATTAATCTCGTTATAAATCCTTCAAACTCGTCCTATATGATCAGTGCGATCGTATCTGTTTCAACTGTAGGCATGTCAGATGCTAGAATTCCGAGCCCCAGCATGAACATAGTCGGAGTCGTAGTTTCTTGATCCCCCTGTTGCATCTTTGTGTTATTTTGATCCAAGAAACACCCGACATTAAGATTGAAGATTGATAAATTCGAAGTTTTGGCGAACACGCCGGTTTACCGATTCTGGATTGTCGGAGTTTCTTGTTCTACCTGTTGTGTGAATTATACCCGCTTCGATGTCTTATATAATCGTTGCAGACTGATATACTCCAGAGGTATCCATGTGAGATGGTAGAATACAGAGATACAGAGTGCAGACTGATGTAGTCGAAGTATCTCCACTATCCCATCAATCTCGTTATATGTCGTTCGAACTCGTCCTATAGTTATGTTCCTGAAGCCGGACCTGTCTATGGAGACAATGCGATGACATCCAGAATGCAGAGTCAACTTCCTACCGGACTTTATCTTTCTATTTTTGGTGAATATTTTCATACCGTGAATTATCTTCTAAATCATAATATGAAAAGGAAATATGTATTTTATCGAACATTCCATTTTTGTCACTTGTAGCCTGCATTTTCAACTTCATTAAAAACGCATCGAGAAAAGACGATCCTTCATTGTGTGTTGAGTGAATGTTGAGAAAGGGTTATTCAATACAAAATTGGTTTCAAAACTACGACGGTGCTTCTACGAACCACAACTGCTAGGGGCACAAACGTAACTGGCGCAGTCGGCGACGGATTTTGGAAAAACCAAGATTCAAAAACCACCACCAGGGAAAATTTCAGAAGACGAGTTAACATAGTGTGGAGAAACTGCAAGCAGGAAGATCCAATAGTGTTTCAACAAATCTTCAGTGAATTTCCAAAAAGACTCCAGTACCTGCAAGTGAGGACAGCAATCCAACTTGGAGAAACGGGGTGCAAATCTGAATATCCCAACAGAGGAACGAATCAGAGGACCACTATCAACCACTTCGGAGGACAGCATTCCCTAGATTGGTTCAGGATTAAGAAGAAAGAAAACCAAGAAAACGAAGACCCAAACAACCTAGATGTAAGTCATTCTCAATTTTTCCTTCACTTCCTTTTCCTACACTGTGAAAAGTTATTCTCTCTTAATTTTTTATTTTCAACGTAGTCAGAGAAATATCACAAAAAAACCGTGAAATCCGTGAACAGCGTGCTACTTTAAACCAACAAAACTATAATTTAGTTACTGAAAGTAACGAGAACCTAAATCTTGACTCCCTTTTTCGAAGTTTCGCTAATTTGAATTTGGAAAGTAACGAAACTGATTCTATAATGTCTATCAACATGAACTATCAACAATTGAAACTCTTTTTGGATATCATACCATATTTTTCTGGTGATCCTTGTGAATTGAATGATTTCTGTGCAGCTTGTGATGAAACCTTTATTCAATATGATGCAGAACCTGCATTCATAAAAAAATTAATTTTGAGAGGTATAATCAGCAAACTGAAAGAAAAAGCTTCAACTTTGATCTCGAGTAGAAATGAATTACCAGAATGGGCTCAAATTAGGCACCTATTGAGAGTCTCATTTTCAGATCAACGATCATTTGCATGTCTCTTACAAGAACTTCATAGTTCAAAACCAAATCCAAAGGAGAATTCATATAATTTCGGTATCAGATGTCAATACTCTAGAAGTCTTATTTTCTCATCAATTAATAATGACAATACTCTCACAGTACATGAAAAAAGTGCTCAAATGAAAAATATTGAAAAATTAATTCTCGTAACTTTTTTGAAATATTCACCATCCACAATTCAGACAGTAGTGAGAATGAAAAATCTCAGTAGTTTGGAAAAAGCACTCAATCAAGTTCTGGAAGAAGAAAATTTCTTGTCTCTAGTTAATGATGGTAAAAGGAATCAATTTCAGTCTATTCCTCAACCAAGTTTCAAAACACCTCTAGTACCTCAGACACCTCAACATTTTGTATTACAAAATAAGTTCCCGAATCAAAATTTTGCAAATCAAAATAGAAATTTCCTAAATAAAATTTTTTCGAGTCAAAATAGAAATTTCGCCACTCAAAATTATTCAAATCAGAACAGAAATTTTCCAAATCAAAATTTTTTGAATCAATATCGTAATTTTCCTAGTCAACCAATACAAATTCAATCACGACAAGTACCACAAAGGTTTTTTACCAATCAACAGGTTTTTGGAAAGCCAAATCATGCAAATGTTTGGAAACCAAAAAATCAGGAACCTCATAATAAACCAACACCTATGTCTGTAGTTACAAGAAATGTCAATTCTCTGCAAAATTCACAACAAAGGAATTTTTTCCAACCACAATCGAGACCAACTCTCATTTCTGAAGAAATTTATCAAATAAATGAACTTCCAAATGAAAATGAAAATAATTTTGAATCTATTCAAGAGCAAACAGACCCTTTGAATTTCATTGCTGATGATTACCAATACACAAAATAATATTGAGAGGCAATATGAATATAATGAACAGATTTTTGAAACAAATAACGATCAAGCTTTTGAGGACCCAATTCAAAATTTTCCTGTAACAGCCTTTGGAACGGAGACAACTTAGAAATTCATAACATTGAAGATCAAAGGAAACTTCCATTCATTGGAGTTTCGATTCCAAATTTCAGACCATTGAAATTACTTATAGATTCTGGAAGCCACATTTCACTTTTGAATCCGGCACTTGCGGAGAAATATTTTGCAAAATATGTTTTCAACAAGCCAAATATAATAAGAACATCCTGTGGACAACAATGTTCCAAATTTGAAGCACACATACCAGCGTTTTCAGAATTTCAATCTGAAATGAAAATTATTTTTACTCTTTTCGATTTTCATCCATTTTTCGACGGCTTATTGAGTTTCAAAGATATCAAAAATATGGGATTCAACTGGAATATTCAAGACGGTTACTTGTACAAAAATGATATTGCAATTCAAGTTTTTCAATGTTCTCCATCTGAGTATCATTGTTATAATATAACTGTAGGTGAAAGTGAAATTTTTAGAACTAAACTTCCTGTAAACACATTTTTCGATGGAACTTATTATCTATCTCAAACAAATTTGAATGAAACTTGTTTTATCCCTGAAAGCATAACGACAGTAGAGAACGGTCAAGCAATAGTTGAAATTCACAATTTAGGCTCTAAAGATATTCACATTAATTTGACATCACCGCTTCAAGTATATCCAATTGATGGATTCGAAATTTTTCAATCAGAATTTGATAGAAACAATCCTTACCCGAATGGAAATGAAATTGAAGATTTATTACGCTTAAATCATTTGAATTCAGAAGAAAAATCAAAGATTCTCAAATTGTGTAAAACATATCATACCATTTTCCACTACCCTGATCAACCGCTTACTTCTACTACTCAAACCACCCATAAAATCAAAACGATAGACGAAGAACCAATTTATACAATATCATATAGATTTCCGGAAATCCACAAGAAAGAAGTAAATAAACAAATAACACAAATGTTGAACGACGGCATCATTAGAAATAGTTCAAGCCCTTGGTCAAGCCCTATTTGGATAGTATCAAAAAAACCAAACGCCAGCGGACAACAAAAATAGCGAATTGTCATTGCCTATAGAAAATTGAATAACAAAACAATACAAGACAGATTTCCTATTCCCAATATTGACGACCTTTTGGAAAAATTAGGGAAAGCCCAATATTTCACTACACTAGATTTGGCCAGCGGTTTCCATCAGATAAAGATGCATAAAGACTCTATAGAAAAAACAGCCTTTTCAACTGACCTAGGACATTTTGAATTTTTGCGCATGCCATTTGGATTGAAAAATTCTCCCTCCACTTTTTCTCGTATGATGATGGAGGTTTCAAAAGATTCGGTAAACAGGATTTGTCTAATATATATGGATGATGTGATTATTTTTTCTCCAACTCTGGATGAACACATTCCAAATATAAAAGAAATATTTGAGAAATTTCAACAACATAACCTCAAAATCCAACCAGATAAAAGTGAATTTTTACACAAACAAGTTGAATTTTTAGGACATATCATTACAACTGAAGGAATAAAACCTAATCCAAGAAAATTAAGAGCTATAGAAAACTTTCCAATTCCAAAAACATACAAAGAAATTAAAAGTTTTTTAGGCATGATAGGATTTTATAGGAAATTCATAAATAATCTTTCAAAGATAACAAAACCATTAACTCAATGTTTGAAAAAAGGTAAAAAAGTTGAACACACTCAAGAATTTATACATGCATTTGAAACTTGCAAAAAACTTTTTTGTAATGAACCAATTCTAATACATCCAGATTTTTCGAAAATCTTCACATTGACTACCGATGCAAGTAAATATGCCATAGGCTCAGTTTTATGTCAAGATGGTAAACCAGTTTGTTTTGCAAGTAGAACATTAAATCCCAATGAAATCAATTATTCAACTATAGAAAAAGAATTGTTGTCAATAGTTTGGTCAGTTAAGTAACCTCATGTTATCCAAAAAAGAGGACTCATCAATTTAGGTGGAAAAATTAATAAATGGCTTTTCGGTACTTTAGATAATGGAGATGGTGAAAGAATAAATTCAATGCTTCAGTCTTTGAATGAAAATGATCAACTTATTCGAGATGAATTGATCAAACAAATGTCTTTAGCTAAATAAATTATGTCAAAAAGTAATGAAACATCTCATCAAATTAAATCCAATATATATAAAGGCTTCAATTGATCAAAAATTTCCAAGATCAGGTTAACGAAATAAATGCTCAACATTTGATAATAAATTCTCTTATAACTTTTCAAAGTCAACTCAATCAAATTATAAATGCCATTACTTTTTCAAATATCAATGTGGTCCATCCAACTTTCCTTTCTTTATCAAATTTGTATTCTATCATAAATAAAATGAATCAACTTTATTCGTCGAACCAATTGGTAAAATTCAAAAATCAACATAGTTATTATAATTTTCTAGGGATACAAACATTATTTACTTCTAAGAGAATAATTTTTCTAATACATTTCCCGATCTTGAAACCTGTACCATTCAAAACTTATTTTATTCATCCAGTCCCTATCCAAAATAAAATTATGTTACCATTGAAACCTTACCTTATCCTCAATGAGAATGATGGACTACATCAATATCAAGAGGAATCATGTGAAGAGATCGAGAGTGTCTTCTACTGCAAGAACAACCTACAAAGAGAAGAAAATTGTATCACGAATATCCTGATCAAGAATGCGGCAGCGAACTGTTCCATGTATGATGTAAACTTTGGCAAGCAGTTGACAAACCAATTATCTCCAGACACCATTCTATTCTCCACTCCAGTGAATACCGTAATTACTGAGAGCTGTTCCACTGAAAATCATCACGAGATCCAGCCTGGGAGTTACCTCATATCCATTCCTGAATGAAATGAATGATTATTAATAACGAAACATTTCTACATGGGCCAGAAGAACTTTCTCCAGCAAAAATCATCCAATTACCTTCAGTGAATATATCTCAGATATTTCTGAGTTCGACAAAAATTTCAATCTCTAAAATGGATTTTGATGAAATCAAACCAAACATCTAACCTCCACTATTAATCCCCAACATCAGTTCCAGCTTTCCCACGAGCAGAATATTAATTCTGACTCCTCACCTGTATGGATAATTATCCTCATTTACATATTTGTATGCATCATGATTTCCTATGGAATAGCATGTTACTATAAAAATTGCTATCCATTCAAGTTATGCCAATATCATCGTTCATCTCGGAGCCAGCCACCATTCCACATGGAGGACATGAAGCCTGACCAACCAACCCACCCTCAGTCTTCATCTTAGGAAGGGAGGAGTTATGTTCCTGAAGCCGGACCTGTCTATGGAGACAATGCGATGACATCCAGAATGCAGAGTCAGCTTCCCACCGGACTTTATCTTTCTATTTTTGCTGAATATTTTCATACCGTGAATTATCTTCTAAATCATGATATATAATGATTTTATGAAAAGGAAATATGTATTCTATTGAACATTCCATTT